TGGGTAAAGGAGAGCTGAAATGACATATTACTCTTAATTCCTCAGGTTCTTTAGTGCCAAGTGAAATACCTCTTCAAGGTGTAATGGAAAGATTTCCAGCCCCAATGACTTCACTTACTAGCCACGTGACACAGTGCCCTGTGCAATGCCATATTTATAAAAGTCAGTCTCCTCATCTATAAAATGAGGAAAAACTCTGCTTCACAGATACATAAAGCCCTAAGTACAGGCCCTGGCACATATAAAAGGCTCTTGAGCTCTGATACAGGACTTTTATAAATATGTAATGATATATGTCAATGGTCATGAATGATACTGGTTTTATATGCAGTAGGATTAATTGATGAACTTTATAAAAAATATGCACACACACCACATACATATATACATATGTATACACACACACATACACACACACACACACACACACACACACACATTCACACTCACACAAATGGATATTCACTGTATCCATCCCAGAATTTCTGAAATGACTAAACTAGGACAAAGCCTAACCATAAATACCTTTTCTGAAGTTCCACAAGAGATTCTAATATGCAACCAGAGCTGAGAAGCATTGGGCAAAGGTTCTTAAACTGAGGTCCATAGAATTCTTGATAGAATACAGGAAATTCGTGAACTAGGATGGAGAAAAACTTAGACCTTTATTTTTATTTTCTTTATTTTCACTAACCTCCTGCTGTAATTTAGCATTTCCTCAGGAATGCAACAAACCATAGTAGGGCTATTGATAACCTGGGACTTTGCACCAACAGAAGCCACAGAAAATCACCTTAAAGTTGCTTCAGATATCTCAAGGTGTCACTGATGGTCACCATTATGTTAAAAGTCCAGTAGTTACTACATCCGCCACTAGATTGTGTTTTAGTGACTTATTAAAGAGTAACGTGCTGGGGCGCCTGGGTGGTGCAGTCGGTTAAGCGTCCGATTTCAGCCAGGTCACGATCTCGCGGTCTGTGAGTTCGAGCCCCGCGTCAGGCTCTGGGCTGATGGCTCGGAGCCTGGAGCCTGTTTCAGATTCTGTGTCTCCCTCTCTCTCTGCCCCTCCCCCGTTCATGCTCTGTCTCTCTCTCTGTCCCAAAAATAAATAAACGTTGGAAAAAAAAATTTTTTTTAAAAAAAAGAGTAACGTGCATTACTATACTGTATTTGTAACAATATATTGAGCATTCATTTTCATACAATAGGAATCCTTTGCAAACTGTTGAATTGGGTTTTACACATTCAAAAACATTCTGAAGAAAGGCTGTTAGGCTTTGGTAGGGTGTGTAAGGAGTCCAGGGCACACACACGGGGTTCAGAATTCTGTATTTAGAGGATAATTGGTCAGGAAAGCATTTTCAGGAATGCTGATGAAGAGCAACTTGTTTGGAATCATTTTGAACTTAATGTGTGCAATGCTGATTTCTCAGTAATGAACTGAGGAAGGGTTTCAGTAGAATGAGGTGTATTGTAATTGAAGTATATTTACATATCAATTGTTCTTCCTTTATTAATTTCTCTAACAAAGCCATCACTCCCTTTTCTATCTTCACCAGCTAATTCGCTGCTGAATCCCTATCTTTTGCCTAACTCTTACTTTAGATGCCACAAATGATAGAAAATGTCAGTCTTTGTTTGCTAATTCAGTGCATTCAGACAAAATGCAGCATGTATTTTTTTGGTTAAAAAAATGCAAAACTTAAAATATTTGGTTTCTAAGGCTTTTGCAGTGAGAATGAAAGGATTCACTTAAAATTGATTTCTGTAAGCTCTAATTATACAGTACATTTCATAATAAGCATTGCAAAATCTCAGCTTAGGAACAAAAAAAACTCTTAGTAATAAACTGTCACTACAATCATCAGTGTGCCAAATTTAATTCACAGATAAATAAAAAGAAACCTTGAAAGCCGGGCAGAAGTCTAGCATAAAGTGTAGGCTTTGGTATAACTCTGTGCTAGTTAAGGAACAAGCCTTTACAATATATTTCAGGGGTCTCAATGCCTTTCTAGTCAAGGTGTTCTTCCAGCTGTCTCCTCCAGTTCATGGTCAACTGGTATCTACTCTCTCTGGAAAGAGAGATACTAGCTGCTGCTGCTATCAGCTGACCTACATCCCTTCTCCACAACCCCCAGGACAATTTCTTTTTCAGAAAAGTTACCCTTGCTTAGAAGCTGCCACACTGGGTTGAATTACCCGATCCCTGTCATCAAAGGTGGCAGCCACGCACTTGAGAATGATGTGGGAAAACTCCAGTGAGAGTGATAATTAAACTTGGAAAATGAAGGGTCACCTTCTTTCGTTCAGCTCATTGGGTTTGGCATCAGAGTAATTCCAAAACAGTGGGGGATATTCTACTCGCAGCATGGCAATATCTAGGTGCAACACATTATTTCTCTGGGTTCAAATGGGAATGCCATTTTAATTGTATTTAAAATGTTATCATGGATATGGAGGATAAAAGTGTTAGAAATTAGTTCTAAGGATATAGAAAAAGAATAATGAGTATAATCTCAATGGCAAAAGAATTAGAAACAAGAAAAGCATGCATTGTTTTCTCAGAAGGAAAAAGCATATAGGAGGAGAAAACTGTTTCCAGGGAAATTTTGAAAAGAACATTTAAATGTGCTTCTTCTTTCTACTTGACTGTGGAATCACAAAGCAAGAGTTTCATCTCAGCTTTCTCGTCTACTTACTGTCATTTCTTGGAGGCCACTGTATAATATCTCACTCCTGCCCAAAAGAGAGTAGAGTTTGAGACAAGCCAATGGCAGGAGTTCTCTTCCAGGAAAAGGGATTTTTTTTCAGATACTATGGCTTATCTAAATACTATAGAAGCAATATCTGGAGAAATTATATTTCATCCTCTTACATTGCATTAAAAAGTAATACTGAAATTTTAAAGGCCTGAAATAATACTGCACTTTGTGCACTAGAGAACACTATAATTAGACAGGAGCACAGATGCTAAAAGCAAGTTTCAAGTTCAAATTCTGGTTTCACCATGTGGAAAAGTCCCCCTTTATCTATGAGGGATACATTGCAAGACCTCCAGTGGTTACCTGAAACCATGGATAGCACTGAACCCTTTATAAACCATGCTTTTTCCTATATATACATACCTATGATAAAGTTTAGTTTATAAATTAGGCACAATAAGAAATTAGCAACAAAAGCTAAGAATAAAATAGAACAGTTATAATAACACACTGTAATAAAAGTTATGTGCATATGGCCTCTCTCTCTCTCAATATTGTACTGTATTCACTCTCCTTCTCATGATGATGTGAGATGATAAAATGCCTATGTGATGAGATAAAGTGAGGTGAATAACATAAGCACTGTGACAAAGCTTAAAGCAACTACTGACCTTCCAACATCAGAAGGAGGATCATCTGCTTTCAGACTGGGTTGACTCCTGGTAACTCAAACCATGGAAACTGAAAAGGGAACCGAGGAATAGCTGTGCAACCCTGGGCATGTAATGTTACTACTTTGTTTCCTATCAGTTTCCTCTCTGTGAAATGGGGAAAGTAATAGTACCTATCTTATAAGATTATTTAAAGATTGAGTGTTAAAATACATAAGACATTTATAACAATACCAACCACAGTTTAATATTATAAGAGCTCACACTTATTATTTTTGCTATTATTTTACGGTTGTTCAGTACCTAGTATAATACTTAAAACCTGTAGATGGTGTTTAAAAATACATTAATAATTCTTCTTATACTTGACCCACTTTTTGTCCCTGTCTTACTGAGAAAAGCTTCCCACAAGATTTTGGCCCTTTAAAAAACAAATAGCTCAACATAATTGTTTACTAGAGTTAAGTGCATAATATGAACATAGAGTATTTGCAACATCAATTTCAGAAAGTGAAAAATTCCTAAAGAACAGAATCTACAGATATCATATGGGTATTGATAGTTCCCTTTATATATGAAGGTTTGACTTGAGGATGATTAATTTTATTCTATGTGTGTATATTTTGTTTCAAGGTAAGAGAGCTTTGAACCAATTAGAATACTCTAAAACAACAACAACTTAATGGGTTAGGCAAGAGAATGAAATAGAAAGTCCCTTTATAAGAATTTCGAATTTATCAGTTTGTGGGAAAACATCCACAAATTTCATTAGATTTTAAAATATCTATCATTAGAGTACTTAAAACATTCCAATTCGTCTTTGAATCTTTTCGACAACACAAAGACACACATTGTCCAAACCTCAACTTCCATTCATCACCAGCTCTGAGACAGAAAATGATGGGGGGGGGGGAGCAGAAAATTGTGTGTGTGTGTGTGTGTGTGTGTGTGTGTGTGTTGTGTATATGCATATGTGTATCAGAGTGATGAGGGGGAAAAAAATAAATGAATTAAGAACAACTCTAACCATCTACTGAAGAGAAAATACTACCTATAGATTAAAAAACTACTGGCGACATATAAAAATCCATAAAGAAATGAAATATATGTAATCTTTGTGTACAATACTTTTAAAGAAAGGGCTTTATAAAAGATAGTGACTCATTTAGTATAAAGGTATTAAAATTATTTGGTAAATTATTTCCCACTGAAAAAACATAAATAAACTATATAAGAAGATATTCTGCTTCTGCCTCAGGTTTATATTTAAAATGATTTATAGCCTGCAATTTCTTCCTAAGGTCATCACCTTCATAAATACTAGCTACATACAGTGAAAACCAAGTCAATAAAATGAGGATTTCATTTCTCTTCCTCTGCTTATGTAGATACTTCTTCCATCTGCATGGCACCCATTTATAACAAAGCCTCACATTGTGTGGATTTTTATGAGTTCTTGAGCTTTTCTTTCTTTTTTATCTTTCTATGCATCAGCAAAGCAACTGGCAGATTCTTTAATAAAATATATTATACACATTAATATTTATAAGCCTATGAATTGGATGTTTAAATAAACATTCACCAACTTATGCCAATTCTTTTGTTTTAGACGTTAAATCACACTTACATTGTCTGGAAAGTCAGCTTTTAGTTCGGTGACACTTTGACACCAATATGCAGCCGTTTTTTCACTGATGAGCTCAATATTCAGGAAGGAGCTTTGTCCAGGGCCATACATGGGGCCAGAGGTAGTCCCCCGGATGATTCTAGGCGAAACATTTGTCACGATGTCCTGATAAAAGAGTAAAGATATTGGGTCTCCTTTTGACCAAGAAAAACTACAATCTTTATTCGATGCTCATTTCTATATGACAATATTTTACCAAGTCCTTTCTCACATTTTTAGAGAAGAATTTTAAAAATATATTTTAAATTACATGTGAATATAAACTACTTCCAGATGAAAGAGTAAACAAAGTATTTGTCAGCTTTATTTAAATTACTTTCTGTAATTGTAAGGTTAGCATCTTAAAAAATATGTAAATTTATTTTATTGGTTTTGGGCATACATATTTTAATTTGTTTGCAATTAAATAATAAATAGAAACCTGATAAGTAAAATGTAAGAATATCGTTTCAGTCTAGTTAATCCAAATACCTTCAATGACATTTTAATTCCAATAAAAGCTAATGTTTTGTAAAGAAAAAAAACCACTATTTTTCTTAAAAAGCAATTCCAATGTAAATCAGCCAGGGAGTACATATTAGTACCACTGGCTCATCAAACTTTAACACATATTCTAACTAACTGGGTCAACCTACCTATAGAATTCTAACTATAAATTCACATTCAATGAGAATTCAGTTCTTCCAAGACTGAAATGAGGATATCAATAACTTCCTGATAACTATAAACAGTAAACAGTCAAATTAACTTGCTTGTTAAGTGTAATTAACAATGTACAACTGCTTCTAAAGCTGTATTAACAAAGAAGAGTAACATTCTTACATTACTAAAAACTAAAAAGAAACAAAGAAGAAAAATGTTTCTTTAGCCAACTTCCAATTAAAATTAATTTTGAGTAAAGGTCATTTAGTTAAGGATTTATCAGAATTAGTCATTTAAGTACCCCTCCTCACCATCTTGTCACTTTTAGTGAGATAACATGAACCCCCATTAGTATATAGCAATTAAGGTCAATTTACATATTTTAATTAAGAACCACCCCATATAAAACAATTAGCGTAATAGGCATACTAACTGGATTTCATAACATTTGGACGTTTTTCCAACTAGATAGACAGGAAACCTTAATTAGCATTAATTAGTGCTGATCTGCATATGTTTGATAAGGCATACCCTTGCCACAAAAGATTATTTATTCCTGAATCTGCCAAATGCTACAGTTGCAGAGGATAAAAGGACTTTTCTTCACATTGCATGTTAATTTCTGGTAATTTACATTCACTTTTACATTCGAATTAGTATATTATAAAATAAATGGTATAAATGTTACAATAAGCCTCCTTAAATATGTACATTTTTACTTATAGGAATCCTGCCAGTTAATGTTTTACTAATTAAGCTATTCCACTTCTATTGTAATTATGGGCAACACCACCAGCCTTACTTTGATTTGCCATTGTGAAACAGTGTTCCACAATCTTATAATGGGTAAAATGACAATTCAAGTCACTCCAGAATGCTCAGGTTTAATGGGTCAAATTTCTGTCTTGGCAAAGGCTTAAATGTATGCTCTACATCCCTGCAGGTGGCTTCTGTGCAGCTTACCCAGGTAGGTAACTCAAGTGCTGCCATGGTCTGAGAACACGATGCTAGGAATTTTGAGACAGAGAGAGACAGAGCATGAATGGAGGAGGGTCAGAGAGAGAGGGAGACACAGAATCCAAAGCAGGCTTCAGGCTCTGAGCTGTCCACACAGAGCCCGACGCAGGGCTTGAACTCACGGACCATGAGATCATGACCTGAGCTGAAGTCAGACACTTAACCGACAGAGCCACCCAGGTGCCCCAGGCTTATTTTCTTCTATATTCCAACTTTCAAAAGCCATACACTTTAAGCCTTGAAGTCTTCATTTCCTCTGCTCTACTCCCTAGTCTAAAAGCCTTTCACTTAGATAAATCCAATCTAGGCCACAGGTTTTGCCCTATATAAAACTTGGCCAAGGAAGTGAATACAGTCCTTACTCAGTTCACCAACTCATGTGCCCTGGTGCTGAAGAGTCCCACAAATGAAGGGGCACCTATTTAAAGGACCACTTTATAATTTAGTAGCACCTCCTGCTTATTCAACAAAACTGATTAATGTTAGCAGCATCCCTCTTCCTATACATTCTTCAGGTCTTAACTTAGACTTCAGTCCCTTTGAGAAACCTTTCCATGTCTCCAACATCATCGTCTTAATAAGCTGCTCTGACTTATGCCACCATAGCAATATATCCTTCCCCAATTGGCATTCTTAACATCCTGTAGTGTAACTGTCTATATTCTTGTCTGAACCTTTCACTAGAGTACAAGGATTGGAAAAGAAACTATCTCATTTGCTAACACATGTGCAGTTTCTAGCCTGGCCTTTAACAGGTGCTCAAATAATGTTTTTTGAAGAAGCCTAAAGCAAAACCCTAGGCACTAGAATGGGTCTTGTCCTGAGGCAGGGGAAGGATAGAGGATTTATTGCTGGCCTTATTCTGTTGCTGAACAGACATTATATTCAAATTTCAGGTACTGGTTCTTTGCTTTAGATCCTTTCCTACTAGTCTGTTACTCTAGAATTGGGGACTTTCCTTGCTTCCCCTGATACCTCAGCGACCCCTGAATACAGCTCCCTGTCCCCAACTACAGTTGGTAACACTGTGCTTGACACAGATTGCCCACCTCTCCCCATCTCAGCCTACTGCAGAGCCTCAGTGACAGGAAGCATATTTCAACTTCCTCACACTGTAGCTTTTAAGATCTCCCGGATTGTTGGCTCTAACTTCCTGGGTTTATCTGATCTCAAGGATCCAAATACAATGGTTTTATTCAGATACAATCTGACTCTAAGGCTTTCTGGGTCAGGTGGATGTGAATTCCTAAACTGGTCATTGGCTACCTAGAGGATTTCTTGGCTGATGAATGTATTACGATCTTAACCAACTATAGTTGCTTCTTGTGTCTGTGCCCTAGGCTGGGACCACATCTTCATAGTATGTTTAGGCTTTTTTTTCAATATCATAAAATAAAGAAGACACAGCATAGAAGAATTGCACCTATACTGAGTAAGGAAAACCGCAATGGTCCAGTAATTCTAAGCCATATACTATTTTACAGTAACCCGCCTAATAACAATTAGGCCAACAAACCACAGTGGCCAAATGGATCAGTCTTAACAAGATTTAAATGGAGGACAGTCAGGGGTGTCTGGGTGGCTTAGTCAGCTAAGGGTCCAACTTTGGCTCAGGTCATGCTCTCACAGATTTGTGAGTTCAAGTCCAGTGTCTGACTCTGTGCTGACAGCTCAGAGCCTGGAGCCTGTTTCATTTTCTGTGTCTCTCTCTCTCTCTGTTCCTCCCTCACTCATCCTCTGTCTATCACCCAAGAATAAACATTAAAAATTTTTTTTTAATAAAAAAATAAATAGAGGACAGTCAAGCAAATGCTCCATTCTTAAAATGCCCCACTTCAGTGGTAACTTAAAACCTAAAATTCTGACATTAGAGATTTTTCTTTTGAATACTGTGAGTTAAATTTATTTTTAATGTTGGGGGTGTTTTATTTTTCTCTTTTATAATCTGGTATTAAACTCTAAATATACCATGGGAGAATTATCAATGATCTCCTTAACCAAGATCAAACAGTAAGTGCAAGCAAATCAGAGGGAAATTTTATCTACTTCATAATCAGGGTTGCTAATTCATTTATGTTGATTTATGACAGGCAGTGTTTCTGTGAACAGGTTAGTGTTCTCTTTCTTTAACTCAAGCCAAGAAAAAAGATCCTTAACAACTGCCCAAATTGCATATGCCTAATGTGTAGAGCTTGTCAACTATCAGTGAGTCAACTGTTGCCATTGTAGCAATTTAAAAATTCAGCGTATTCCAAATTCAGTGAAAGTGCCGAGATTCCAAGATTGTCACCCAGTGATAAATTGGTAATAGAAGTTTTATTCTAGGTTTTCTTTCTCAAATTCATTCATATTTGCTATTATTACCTTATCAAAAAAAAAAAAAAAAAAAAAACCTTCTCCACTAACTTAAGACTTCTTGGAATTGTTAAGTGAAAGGTGAATGAAAATTTGGATACAACCAATTACCCTTGGTTATATGATTATAGAGTTAAAGCTTCAATAATTGGGCAATAACTTACTAAAGCTTTTGACCTGGGAATACTAGAATTTGAGCATGATTTCATAAGATAATATTTTGCTTTAATATTTAATAGCTAAATTATATTAGCATTGCTTAAGGGAATTAATATAACAAACATATTCAGAATATTTAGAACAAGCTTATTCTCTATAACAAAGAAGAGGAATTACCATAGTTCTAGTCTTCAGTGCATTAACAATATACTGATTTTTTAAAATTGATGTTTATAGATAAGAAAATGTTAGGTGATATCTCTGCTTTGTGTGATATTGTAACTACCATTATATAATCGAATGTTAGTGACCCCTTAACATTTGAAGTGATGCTAGTGATTTTTCAGCATTAGTAAAGAGATTTAAATGGTAAACAGGCTGATTATATTTGCTTGTTTAAGTTCATTTACTTGACCTCTCTTATCCTAAAGAAAAAAAAAAAAACTATAGTGTTTCCATGGTTACCACTGGATCAAGATAGTCACGATGGCCTCAATGAACAGAAAAAGAAACTTTGCAGAGATGTCTTGTTAAGAGGCTAGGAAAAGAAACAGGGTCCAAAAAAGTTGAATTAAAATGAAAAATAAAATTTGCAGAATGAACCAGAGCTACTCTACCACAACAGATTAATTTAGAAATCTGTTGAGTGAAAAGAGCAAGCTGTGGAAAAATATATAGAATATGATACCTAAAACAAAACAAAACAAAAAACATAACATACTGTTTAGTGAAACACACTTATGTGACCAAATGTAAGTATAAGAAAATAATTAAAATAATTCAGAGGAGTGGTTACCTCTTACAATAGGTAGATACTGGGGGAGAAATTGGGGATGGTGGAGCAACGATGACTTTCTAAAAGTATTAGTGATATATAATTTTAAAGAAGTTTCACTCTTGAACTGCAGAAACACATGGTAAAATGAGAAATC